GATAAAAGAACAAATTAAGATCGGGGAGAGAGAACACAGATTGTACTTTCTATTATAACATTTGGACATAGAGAGTAACCGGTAGTTGGGGAGTAAGTGCTTCTGATTTTCTTGGTTTCCCCTGGGAACGGTAGATAGATGGACTCACTGACCCTTCAAACCCATGAATCCCCAGGGTCTCAAGCAAACACCTAACTCCCCTTCATGTTTTAAATTCCATAACTTCTCTCTCCCCCTTCCTCACATCGACTAATCCATAGTGAAACTGTTCCCAAGTTCCCACAGCTTAAGCACTCCTCCTCTCTGTTTTCCCTCTTCTTCATCACTCATTTATTTTCTTGTTTTCTGAGAATCTGACATATGGCTCCAAAGAATGAGGGTAGTGCTAATAAAAAGGTTATGAACAGAGGAGCATGGACTGCTGAGGAAGATGGGAAACTGGCTGAGTATATTGAGATTCATGGCGCAAAGAGGTGGAAAACTATTGCACTTAAAGCAGGTTAAAAATTCAAATTATTCCAGACCCTCATAGATGCAACTTTGATCATTCCCAGTTCTAATAATTTCAGTTCAAATTCAATAGGCCTTGATGGGTTATCTTGTTTTTACAGGTCTAAATCGATGTGGCAAGAGTTGCAGATTGAGATGGCTGAACTACTTGAGACCTAACATCAAAAGGGGCAACATTTCAGATGCAGAAGAAGATTTGATTCTCCGACTACATAAACTCCTAGGCAACAGGTTTGCTCTTAGGCATTTTATCAAACCCACAATGATACTTCTACAATCTCAATTAATGTAATGGAATTGTAAAAACAAGTGTAATGTAATGTAATCTGTTTCCCGTGTGTGGTGCAGATGGTCTTTGATAGCTGGGAGACTTCCAGGGCGAACAGACAATGAGATAAAGAACTACTGGAATTCTCATTTGAGCAAGAAAATAAAAGGAGAGAAAATAGCACAAGCTCCAACCCCTCAACAACCTGTGCCCCAAAAGAACTGTGAGACCACTTTTGTGGAACAAGAACTAGCTATGGGAATCGAGAACCCAGAACTTAATTTTGATGTAGATGAGTTCTTTGACTTCTCCACCGAAGGATCCTATGGTCTAGAGTGGGTGAATAACTTTCTCGAACTAGACAAGGATCACTGTCTCACTGAAAACAGGTGAGCTTTGTTAGGGGTTTACAAACTAGTGCTTTACTTTTTTCTCTCCTTGAGGAAAATAAACTCTTCTTTTTTTGTATTTTGTATAAATTTCCAAATAAAAACTTTTCCCCTTCTCCATTTCTCTTGTCCTCAAAATTTCATGGGATGTGCTACTTTCTGGTTTTCAATCATTTCCTATCTTCTAAGCTGAAAGTTAAAGCTTGTGGAAGTAATTCAAGAAGTGGAATTATATTGGATCAAAGTTGGGTTAAAATGGAGCAGCAACTCTTAGACTAAGTACGGGTGGAACCATGAGTCTGAAACGGAAAGTCCAAGGCTATCAAAATGCCGGTCTTGTTAAACGCTAGTTTGCTATATACTTTTATAATGGCAAGTTGGGACCTAAGTGAAAGAGGACAGTTGAGTGGAACATACTTGGTTGAACTCGAAGGTTCTCCAACAATAATTACAGTAATTTCCATAATTTATGAAAATAAATATCCTACTAAAAACTTCATGACATATAAAGTGCAAAGCATTTGATGCGTCAACGTCAACCTCTTAAGACACAAGTATTAGTCTGACTAACCAATTAAATTTTAAATTAAATGTAAATTTGCATTTGGCCTCCTAAGTCTAGTAATTATGTCATTTTTTATAAATGCGCATTTACCCTTCGCTCTACCCTCAATTTGTAATTTATTCAGAAAAAACTTAAATGTAAATTTTATAAAAAAAATCATTAAAAAATAATTTTATGCATTACTTAAATAATTAATTTTTTATTTATTTAAAATTTATAATATTAAATATATATTTATTTAATAATATATAAAAATTATATAAAATATATTATATATATATATATATAACTATTCTCATATTACTCTTTTAAGTTTTATATTGAATCCGACGTATCAACTTTCTTTTCTTTTTTTTGGTAAAAACTAAAAAGACGTATCAACTTTCACGGACATTCATTTGTTTCAAAAAACAGGAAAAGGGAAGATTCCAAGCTTACATAGCCTTATCTTTAGCACACTACCCCAGTAACAAAAATGGAAGGCAGTGCGTAATAATTAGAAAAGGATGAAGATGTCCATCTCAGCATGTGGGTTTGTCGATGGTGATTACACAAGGATTTGTCGTCGTCAAAGGCTCTCTTAATTAAGGCAGGCCTTTACGGGGGTGGACCTCTCAGGAGTCAGGACCTGGCGATGGAGGCCAGCATACGTACGTTGCCTTGTTGGGTAATTGGCCTTCCTCATCACC